GGGTTCAAGGCAACCTTGTGAAGTAGGGCCAGTTGCATCAAACTGCATTGGCTTTCAAACTATCCCTGTGCTGCATGTCAACCTGCCCTTGCTCATGCGTGCTATGTCTATGTTGGTCGTTCGCGTTCATGCTTGGACTGAGTATTCGGAAGCTTCATGAGAGTCCAGCTGTGGGCAACTGGACACTAAGTTCTACAGTTGTGGGGTCAAAGCCCCATTGGGGACTGAATTTCCAGACTGAGCATTGCAGCATGTAGCCCCACTGGGCCAGCCTCCTGTCTTGCGTTTGATGTTGAGAGACCATCCAAGGAGACTGGGCGCCAGTCTCAGAACTGGGTGCCTGGGAACACCTTCATTGTGTTATCGGGCTTCCTTTGTCCACGTCCAGGTGTGTTGCCTTGCGGCGATTTCGGACCCTGTGGACTGGCCCGACATGGGGCAAATAGTCTTCTACCTTTCCCACGTGAGAATCTGACCCATTGCAGCTGACTATAGGTCCTATAGGTGATCAAGTCTTGCGATCGGTTTGCAGTGGTACTGCCATGTTATGGGGATGCCTTCCGGGCTTTGGTAAAGTTCTGCGATGCTGCTTCAGAAGGGCTGTGCGGGTGTGCTGCATCACAGTGCAATACTCGCACCAGCTTGCTTGGTTGTGATGTCAAACCCTTCGGCCAAGGATGGCAAGACAGTGCTGATCAAGCGCGCCGCTCGTGCCCGTATGATGGATGATACGAAACCCACAAATCTTGCCCAGACCGGGCTGCCAGCTGTTCATAACCGTTTTTGTTTGCATGATCACTTTCGATTCAGAGAGTAGCGAGTTTTTGTAATGCATTCTTACGGTGTCTGAAGCAGCCAGCTATGTGAGCGCCGAGGCGAAAACGTCTGTAGTTCACGGTATTAGCCACGACTCAGGTCAAGCCAGACGGCGCCGTTGCACGATGGTGCCATGAGCGACCCGGGACTGTCCTGGGTTCTTAAAGCAGCAAGCCAACAAGGGGAGGTCAGCATGTTCATCTTCGCGTATTATTGGTTCTGTACCTTCCCAACATGGGGAAGTCAGCATATTTATCTTTACGGGTTGGTTGGGCACCTTCCCATGTACCGCCGAATGCCACTCGTACCCAGACAAAGCCTCACCCTCGAAGCAGAGCAGCAGATGGGGTGCTCCTACGATGCTAAGGATGGTGCACGTTCAAAGAGCCGTGTGCGAATGCCACAGAGAGCTGTGAGCTTCATGCGGTACCTTCATGGCCCTTATAATTCAATATTACTTGTTTTTTGGAGAAACAGTGCACGCGACATACTCCCGAACCCTGTCTGATCATACAGGCCCCAAGTTTACCTTACCCCTTGAGACACAGGCACTGGTCACGAGCAGCTAAAGCAGGAGGGCCGTCGAGCCGGGCGACCGAATCGTCTCAGCCAACGGCCTTCGCGGCGATGCCCTGCAGCGCCACGGCTGCAAAGACGAATGTCCGCCAATAAGTTAAGCAAGCTTCTCAGGCTTTATCGGG